TTCTCTTGGAAACATGTGTGCCTTTACTGCAGAACCAACTACTTAAGGGTAATGACGCGGGAGGAGTGAGTGGCCTCCACGCCCGGCCGGCCATGATTCACAGGCTTGTAGGCGATGCAGAACTTGCCCTGGTAGTGACAGATCATCTCTGGTTTGATTTCCAGCTGGTTGAAGGTCTTTGATTTCCACCTGGTTGAAGGTCTTGCCGTTGCTCACATCCACCACACTGCCCACCATCTCAGGCAGGTGACTCTTCACCACCTCTGGCTTTTCCGGGGACACCTCGCCTTCTTAGCCTCGCGCAGGCGCTCAGTCACGAGGGCTGCTTCCGCCGCAGGCGCCGGCTGGGCGCTGTATGCTGTGTCAGCTGCTCCGTGGACACCCGGCGCGGTAGGTGAGCTCGCCGAAGCCCCGCAGCTTTTTCTCTGGCTCCACTTCCACCATCTTGACGGCTGCCCGGAAAGGAGCTTCTCCTGTTTTTATAGTATAAAGTTCATTCTTTTTTCCTCATTATAAGAAGTCGATACAAGTAGAAGTACAAGTAGAAGAAAGGGGAAAATATCATGTTTTAAAACTTCACTAGGACAACGCCACTTGGTGACATTTTGTTTTTCCTTCTAGTCAAAGTTTTTACTGCTTATATTGCTTGTGTATATTTTTTATGTCGTAAGCATTAGGTCAGACATAGACTGAATATCACTGCGTTGTTCATCCTACACTCTATTTTCCCTGATTATTGTAGAGTCTAATGAAACATGAGTTAAATGATAAAGCAGAGTTTACTCAACCATTTTTCTAGTTTTGAGCATTTAATTTATTCTCATTGCTATTACAAATAAATAATAGCATTGTGATCAACAGCTTTCCCATGACGTTTTCCTGCATTGCTGATTATTTTGAGGTAAACTTGTAGAACAGATTACTTGAAAGACTACACTTTAAATTTATTCACTTATTTATTTATTTGAGAGGGAGGGCAAGGGAGAGGGGAAAAAATAGGGAGAGGGAGAGGGAGGGGGAGAGGGAACAGGGAACAGGGGAGAGCGGAGAGGGAAAGCTTCAGTTTACTGGTTCACTGTACAGATGACCATGGTGGCTGGGGTTAGACCAGGCTGAAACTGGTACCCAGGAATGCACTCCATATCTCCCATGTGGAAAGTACGAATTCCATTATTTCAGCCTTCACTGGTGCCTCCCAAGGTGCACGTTAGCAGGAAGCTGGAATCAGGAGCAGGAGCCAGAATCAAATCCAGACACTTCAGTGTGGAATATGGACATTTAAACTGGCGTCTTAATCACTAGGCCAAATGCCTGCCGTAAAACTACATTTTTAAAAACAAGCTATTTAGTTAAGCTCCATGCAGCATCTTCTCTTTAAATTGGGAATCTTTAGCCTGGATGCCTGTATCGCATCAGGTTGTATTAAATGTTCCAGCATGAAAGAAGTAATTGCTACTGATGCAAAAACCGTGTACGTCTTCACAGCACAACTGAACAAAAAATGCAGATAAAAGCTTTGCCTGTCTCTTCCCCAATTCACAGTGGTTATAGTAATGCCTATCTGAGGGTAGTATATACTGCTTGGCTGGAGGTTTTCCGCAAGCTGCTTCCTTTCACCTCCAGCTGCTGTGGCTCTTAATGGCTTTTTCTGGTCCCATTACATAATTTGGCATTTATCCATAGGTGGAGATATACTGTAACTGCAAGTAAAAAGTCTGACTCAAATAGTTATTTCCAAAGCTTTATTATTACTTTTTAATCTAAGCTGTTGATAGACAACCTATGGCATTAGAACTAGAGGATTATGTTGAACATAAAAATGACTTTAAAAGTTATGTGGTGGATTCTGTTTTAAACAAACACCCAAAGCCAAAACATTCAAAGCCTTGTCGACTCCAAGCAGCTGCTTTAGGTGGCTAAACTCTGATTCCAACAATGTGTCATCGCTCGAGATGTTTCAGAACTCCTTTTCTGCAACTACCATTAGAGACTTTGGCATATTCTTTTCAGTATCCTCAATGAAGAAAAATATTCATTCTTTGAGGAAGGACTGGTTTTGGGACATTCAATGATATTCAGAATCAAATCTGAATGGATATTTGGGTGAGTGGACAGGTGAGCAAGATTTAAAAAAGAATAGGGCACCACTATAACGTGCCACTATAAAACCGTGAGGTTGATTTTCTTGTATGAATGGTAACTAGCACGGCTATGAGAGCAGTTCTCCAAGAGTGAGGAGTTGGAGTTTAAGCTAGGGCGAGATCATGGGGACATGAAGATCAATTAAACTGATGGCCAGAGTGAGGGGATTATGTGAGGGGGCTTTGAAAAGTCAATGGAAAATGCCTATTATGGAAAAACAATGTGATCTCTAAATGTTTTTTGCAGCAAAATAAACTTGTCTTTTAATTTCAGTTCCCACACATTTTTCAAAGGTCCCTCCTACAACTTCAAAGTGTATGTGTGTATATTTCACATGACTTACTAGTGGTAACATTTGAATTAAAATATTTGCATATTTTAAAAGAAAACCTAGCCTGACATAAAGAAGAAAAATAAAACCTATATGTTGAAATTCAAGGTCTTAACTCTTTCTAACAATCCAGCAAGGACTCTGCCTCTTTTAAAAAAATGTCATTTTACTCACTTAAAACACTGGTTAAGACACCAGTTAGATGCCTGCATGCCACATTGCCATGCCTAGATTTTGCTCCGGACTCTAGTTTCCTGCTGTTGTGGACCCTGGGAGGTAGTGGTGAAAACTTAAATTATTGGGTTCCTGCCATCCATGTGGGTCATCTGAATTGAATTCCTACCCCACAGCCTCAGCCCCAGCTATATGCTGTCAAGGACATTTGGGGGGTGAATTAGCAGATGGGGCTTCTCTCCGTCTCTGACTTTTTTTTTTTTTTTTTGACAGGCAGAGTGGACAGTGAGAGAGAGAGAGACAGAGAGAAAGGCCTTCCTTTGCCGTTGGTTCACCCTCCAATGGCCGCTGTGGCGCTGATCCGAAGGCAGGAGCCAGGTACTTATCCTGGTCTCCCATGGGGTGCAGGGCCCAAGCACTTGGGCCATCCTCCACTGCACTCCCTGGCCACAGCAGAGAGCTGGCCTGGAAGAGGGGCAACTGGGACAGAATCCGGCGCCCCGACCGGGACTAGAACCCCTTGTGCTGGCGCCGCAAGGAGGAGGATTAGCCTAGTGAGCCGCGGCGCCGGCTCAGGCTCTGACTTTTAAATGGCGATTTAAAAACTCTCAAAATCAAAAAGAAGCATTTAAAAAAAATTAAGTAATACAGACTCATTACAGAGAATTTGGAGAATCCCAAAACTTTGTGACTCAGAGACATTCCCTTCCTTATACTTTTTATGACTTAATTTTTAAGAGCTGTTTTAGGATTGATCACAGCAAAATTAAACAGAAGATGCACAGCTTTCCTGTATACCCCCCACCAAATGCATAGTCTCCCCCATTATCAACAACCCTCACCAGACTGGTGGGCTTGGACTAATTTATAATGACATCTATCTACCATTATAGTATCATACAGAGTAGTTTCACTATTGTAAAATTCCTCTGTTCCATCTCTTCATTGTATTTTGACATCAAACTATCTTTGATTGGGTTCTCTGGAAAGACTCTGAGAGCTGCCTGTGGAATATCTATGGGCAAGGGCATCCTCGAGTTGCCACCTGTAAGAAAGTAAGGGGCCGGCGCCACGTCTCACTAGGCTAATCCTCCGCCTTGCAGCGCCGGCACACCGGGTTCTAGTCCCGGTTGGGGCGCCGGATTCTGTCCTGGTTGCCCCTCTTCCAGGCCAGCTCCCTGCCGTGGCCAGGGAGTGCAGTGGAGGATGGCCCAAGTGCTTGGGCCCTGCACCCCATGGGAGACCAGGAGAAGCACCTGGCTCCTGGCTTCGGATCAGTGTGGTGCGCTGGCCATAGCGCGCCGGCCGCGGCGGCCATTGGAGGGTGAACCAACGGCAAAAAGGAAGACCTTTCTCTCTGTCTCTCTCTGTCACTATCCACTCTGCCTGTCAAAAAAAAAAAAAAAAAAAAGGAAAGAAAAAAAGAAAGGGAGAACTGTGCTGTGCAAAGGAAGATGGATTCCAAATGCGGTCGTTCCTGAGACAAAGCCCTTCAAAAGGGGCAGCTCTGGAGCTAAGAGGGCCTCTTGTAGTTGCCTGTGCATCCTGAAATCAGCATGTCACTACCTCTCGCCCACACAGAGGGCTATTTTGGATGATTGTGTTTCCTAAGGCCAAGAGCAATTCCCCATGAGGGATGCAGCTGTGAGCTATCAGCAGAGATAGTCCCAGCAGCTGGGGAGGGATGTGTGCTCCTAAGAGGGAATCTGGGCAAAGACTGCATTCGTTATCCATGAAAAAATCATGTCAGAATCAGGATTGTGCAGTGTATGCAACTGCAACCTACGTTTTCTTGTAACATTATTCTGTGAATTTTTCACATTTCATTCATTTCTCTGAAAACACCATTTTGAATAGCTGCCTATCTTATCTTATGAAAGTATCATTTATTTCACCAGTCCCTCATTGTTGAATAATTGATTTTTGAAAGATTTGCACCGTAATAAACAATATTATGATGAACATCCTTGTGTCTTTATGATCTACATGCTATGGATAAAAAGAGCCTACATTTAACTGAGTGCTGATTATTGATCAGATCAGGCCAATGTTTTGCGTGCTTTCCTTGTGTTTTTATGAGAAGTAAATGAGAAATTTATGTAAATGATGTTATATTCCTCTTATCATTTCGATTTTGCAGATGAAGAAACCGAGGCACAATGGAGTGTTAAATTACAGGCAATATAAATCCAAAGTTTAGGCAATACTCTATGATCTTTCTCTTAATCTGTTTTTCTGGTGCTTTTCCTAAATTTATATCCTTACAAGGAGACTTTTGTGGTCAAAGGGCTTGACTTTTCTGAAACCTCTTGCTGAGATTTGCCAGATTATTTCCAGAAGCAGTGAGAACTTCTACCAGCAGAGTATGAGGGTTTTATTTTATCCTAGTCAACAACAAAGAATGCTAATCCTTAATTAGAACCATGATAAAGAACAAGTAATCTATTTTCTTGTTTTCCATCAGATGTTATGAACATTGATTGCTCTTAAGGAGCCTTTCATTTTGTTTTTTAGCACGCTCAATTATTTCAAGATCCCTTCCTGTCTAAAAGGATCACTCACATTTCAGAGAAGGAATTTTGTTTGTGGAATGAATCCATGAAAGAGAGCAGGGAGAGAGCCTGATTCAGCAGCCTTGTACAGGTACAGCAGGAACTGTGGAAGGCAGGTAAGTGAGGATTTGCAAAACAGGGGAGTGATTTTTTTTTTTTTTTTTTTTGACAATTGGAGCATTCTGAAAAAATTCTTTACTGGGATCTTTCCTAATCTCAGTTGAACTGCTTATGTAAAATAAGCACTTACAGGAGTCTTTCTGCCTACTAGACTCCATCATGTGTCTGGGAACACTGACTTTGAATTCTGGATGGGAGTTTAGGGCCATGAGGCCCCCTCGTTTATTACACGGAGGAGGAGCCTGAAGCCATTGCCACCTCTTTGGGGACAGTTCCCTAATCTGGGAATGCAGCTGCAGGAGCTGATCGGTTGTTTTCCTCTACTCAACGTCAGAGGAACTCTTTGGAAACGTCTTAGAAGGTGGCAGGAATTACTGTTTTATTTTAGCACTGGCTTTGACTGCTCTTACCTTCAAAAAGCTCTGTACTTTATTTCTGAATTCGGAGAGATTTCTTTGGAGAACCAAGAAGTTTTCACTAAGTTCTGAGCTCTGACATGATATTGAACACCTCCAAGTTCATTTTCTTACCACCCTCTTTTCCATATGTTATGAGATTTAAATGAGCCAGAGTATGTAAAGTTCATAGAGTAAGACTTGCTGGCAGAGAGGAGGTATTCAATAAATATTGATGTGGATAGCGTTCCTTCTCGGGGGGCCCCCTGCTCTTGCTCCTTCCCAGCATGGTGTGTAGTTGTGTGGCCTTTCTGAGCCTCAGTTGCCTTATCTGAAAACACTCAGATTGTGTTTTATTCTGCACAGGGCAAGCAGTTGATAACCTGTAGCTGGGATTGCTTTGAAATCTGTTAATAGGCTTTAAGTAAATTGTTGAATTGACTGGGCTGTCTAAAGGAATGGATCATATGCAGTTGATTAATTTTCAGCCCTGCTGAATTTATTTCCCCTCTCAGCTTAATTGAGGCATAATTAACATAAAAATTGTGTATATTTAAGGTGTACAATGCAATGTTTTGATAAACATATATAGTGAAGTGATTACTACAATTAACACAGCCTTCACCTTTGCCTTTGTGTGTGTGTGTGTGTGTGTGTGTGTGTGGTGAGAACACTTATACCTACTCTCTTAGTAAACTTCAGATTTATAGTGCATTGTCAACTATAGTTACCAGATTGTGCATTAGATCTCCAGAGTTTATTCATCTTAAAACTGAAATTTTGTACACTTTGACAACCTTTTCCCTTCCCCATCTCCCACCCTTGGCAACCACCTTTCTGCTGTTTCAATGAGTTCAGTTTTTTTATATTCCACATATAGGTGAGAGCATGAAGTATTGCTTTCTGTGTCTGGCTTACTTCACTTAGCACAAATTCATTCGTGTTGTCTCAATTGGCAGGATTTCCTTCTTCTTCTTCTTTTTTTTTTTTTTTAGGTCAGCCCTGTTGAATTAAGACAAAAGATAGAGTTTATATAAAAAGAGAGTAACATTTATATTTTTGGATGAAGGATTCATTGCAGCCCAATCTCTTCAATTTTTGTGTTTTTCTCACCTTTTTTCTTTCTTTAACCCTTTTCTTCCACTTTTTATTGTTTCTCTTGATGATAATCAAAGTATCCTCTTCCTTATGATTCAGATTGAGCAAGCATTTGTTCCAGTGATGAGGAGTTGAAATTACTGTCCCCAGGCCACATGAACTCTTGGTTGCTAAATCTCCTGGCCTCTGGCAGCATTTGACTCTGCTGGACCCTACTTCCGAGCGCCTTCAGGACACCACTCTACTTTCTGCCTTTCTCTGCTCTCCATCAAAAACTTCCCAGGCTCATCCTCTTCTGAGCCTAGCATTAGTATTCTAACGTTTCCCTGGGTTTCCTGTGCAAATTTGTCTTCTTATTTTCCATTGTTTTCCTGAGCAACACTCTTCTATCGCTGAAAGCTTCATCTTTGTTGTGTTAAGACCCAAATCTATGTATCTGACTGTTCAGCAGGGCCTAGTGAGTGGACATTTCCTCCTGGATATGCCACTGGCTAGTCCAGCTCACTGTGCAGAGAACTTGTCCTTATTTCCCCTTCATTGGCTCTACCACTCTACAACTCTTTACCACTCTGCAACTCGAGTGCACAACTTACTGGTTCAGATGACACAATCCAGTGAATAAAGTATGATTGTTGCCTTTTCCAAGTAGTATCTCTCTCACTTCATATGTTACTATCTCTGTAAAACCTGATTCAACCCATCATGCCATTGTTGGCACCTATCTCTGCGATGTTATAGAACTCATTCTATTCTATTGCTGTGCTTTATTTTGGTTTCTTTTCTTCTAGATCAGGGGTCAGTAAAATTTTCTGGTAAAGGGCCAGAGAGTAAATATTTAAGGCTTTGTGGGCCATATGGTCTCTGTTGCAACTACTTGACTCTGCGGTTATGGCGTGAAATCAGCCACAGACAAAACAAACGAACGAGTGTGGCTGTGTTCCAATAAAACTTTATTTACCAGAACAGGCAACAGGCTAGATCTGGCCCACAAGCCAGGGGTTTGTCAACCTTTGCTGTAGAATGTGGACTTTTAAAAGCTTACCTAGGAAAGATGGACGAAGCCTTTTACCTGTCAGGTGATGTAACCGGCCTCAGCCTCCAGGCTCTTTTGTGGAGACCAAGTGTACATGCTGTGGTTGAGGTGTGTGTTTCCTGAGGCTGCTGTTACTGACTGTCCCAAACTGGGTGGCACTAAATGACAGCAAGTTACCATCTCACAGCTCCGGAGGCTAGATGTTCCTTTCAAGGGCTGGAAGGGAAAATTGGGTCTGTGCTTCTCTTTCAGCTTCTGGCCGCTAGAAAATTTGGGTTTGTAGATTTATCACTCAAGTCCCCCCACCTCCATGTGCAAGTTGGTTTCTGTGTTCCTATTTCCGCTTCGAATAAGGATACCAGTGAGATTACAGCCTACTCTCACGACCTCGTTTTAACTTGACTACCTCTATGAAAGTCCCGTTTCCAAATAAGGTCATACACACAAGCATTCAGAAATCCAAAATGTCATCTTTGGAGAACACAGTTCAACTTGTGACAAGGTGTATGTATTTTGCATGTATGTCAAGGGGACTTGGGGAAGGAGAGTTCATTCTACTGGACGGTGGAGGAGAAAGAGAGGGAACAACACCCAACACAACATTTGGCCTAGACAGATGACTAATAACTGTAGACTAAGGAAATAGGAAAGGGAATTCTGGGCTGAGCAGACAACCTGAGCAAACCCAGAAGGGCAGTATCATAGGAGCAAAGAATATCGATTGAATAATTGCCCTGGTGCAGCTACCAAATGGTGAGGTTTGTGGAAGAGGTTGAAGTTTGATGCTATAAAGATGAGCCAAAACAAGACTGTGTGTGTGCAGGCTTTGAGAGTTGTCTGGACAGTGTTTGCTGAATGAGTGAAGTATTGAAATTGAAAAGAGGTGGTGACAAATTGGCATCTATGAATTCCTTCTCATACAGTGTACAGAGGCCGACTGTCTTAGTTCATTTTCTGTTGCTAATGACACAATATCACATGTTGAGTAATTTTTAAAGGAAACGTGTTAATTTTGGGTCATGGCTGTAGAGGTTCATGGTCAAGGGGTTGTATCTGGTGATGGGCCTTCTACATGGCAGTGTCCCAAGTTGGGGCACATGTCTCTGTATGTCTGATCTCTCTCCTTCTTACAAAGCCACCAAGATTGAATCATGACCTTATCTAATCCTAATGACCTCCCAGGGGTTCTACCTTCTAATAAATTTCAACCCTTTTACTATTTGTCTTTCAGTAATAATAATAGCCAATATTTGCTGAATGTTCATTCAGCACAAGGCACTGTTCTGAGTATCTTATATATTAACTCATATATCCACCTGTGTCCCCATGGGATGCTATTAGCTCCATTTAATACCTGAGGTAATTGAGGCCCAGCATAACAACTGGTCCAATGTAATCCAGATGGTAAATAACTGATTGTTAACTATTAGATTATAATGCTACCCTCCCCTCTCCTTCTCTTCCTCTATTTCTCCCTCTTGCCATGCTTTCTCATGCTTCCCTCCCCCTCCCCATCTTGGGTCAATCCACCTGCTTCTGTTCCACCCACCAATGTTAGTGTCTGGCATTCCAATTTTTTTGTCTCCTATTTCCTTTTTTCTCCTTATTTTATGCTTTTTACCCCCATTTCTTGGTCTTTCCTTCACTCTACCATTCCATCGCTATTTTTTCATAATTCTGTTAGTGATAAATCCAGTTATTTTAAAGGATGTCTCATTTTTCTTAACAGTAATTAAATTCTTACCCGCTGCATATAAGAACATAGCCACTGCAGACCTCATAGAAGTGGAGGATGTTCAGTGAGTTGCATGTTCAAATATAAACATTCGAAGTATCGCTGTAGCCATGAAGTCCATTAAAGAGGGTTACTGACATGCTGAAAATAACCAACATTGGTTAAGTATATGCAAGACACTCCCCTATCTTGTGCTAGTAGTATTATTTCTGAATTACTGTGATTCTGACATTTTACCCAAATTTGACATTACTCATTCATGCATACAGTATTGAAAACTGAGAACATTTTCCTGAACTTGCCATTTCTGATTCTATTGAAGGAGTAAGTTTAGCGAGATCTCATGCCTAATCAGCTGATAGTAACTTAGTAGAATAAAGGGCATGAACTTTATACTTGAGAAAGCTTTGAAATTTCAGAGGAAAGTCTTAGGAAGAGTTCTGGGAAGATGGTGGGTGGGAGGAGGGTTGGACTACACTAGATGAGGTTATTTTTCATACAAAGCATTCTTGAGGTGCCCCTCTGCTTTTCTCTGGTATTTTTATTGGATAGAAAATAAACAGAGGCTGTTCGGCTCTTGATCACCACCATACCTACAAAAACCAGCTCTTTAGCTCTGCGAGCAGCTTTGTGTGTATGTGTGTGTGTTTGTCTGGTAGGAATTTTCTGGAGAAGCATGAAGCACTACTTTAATTCCCATGGATGCTGCTTGTTCCCCAGAATGGAAAATGTTCT